CCTCTGATTATCTTCAAGGCTAATACCTACCAGATAGAACACCACACCAATATTGAGATTGAAGAGAAGGAATATGCATTCTTTGCCACCTCTCTTAAAGGTTATACTAATACTGAAGTAACATTTCAGTAGTTTCAGGAGGTATTTGAACTAAGAATACTTCCTGTAAGCAGTATCAAGTAGCTTTATATTCTCGTATTAGATGACCATTCAACACATGTAGAAAAATATAAGTTCATCAAGTATGTCATCTACCACAATATTCATCTTGTCTGCTTCTCCTCCTATTTGACTTATATTCTCCATCCTCTTGATGTCGGCATCTTTGGCCCTCTTACAAGCTACTACAAGTAAGAGCTTAAAGATCATGTAGGTCAACAAGACCCCTATGGTACTATCATGAAGGAAAATATCTTTCTCATGCTTCAGAGGTCAAGGACCAAGACCTTGAAGCCCGAAACCATCAGGTCAGCCTGGCGTGCCTCCGGACTTATCCCATTTAACAGAAATCACGTTTTAAGTGATCCTATCTTGCAGGCAAAGATGGTTTCAAAGATTCCTTTCGCAACCAGATGCCCTGATTTTTGACCCTCAACAGAGAGAGTTGTTAGAATACCCAAGCCTAATCATATCAAGCTAAGTAGTCAGCAAATTGAAGAAACGCTAGCTACTAAGATCCTTAAAAATCTTTTAACTCAGTGTATTAAAGAAGCGCGCATTATCAATGACGCTAGGATTATTGCAGAGAAAGAGGTTGATAAAGTATGCCAACTAGCAAATCTGGTCCAGGTGGCTAGATGACAGCTATGTGGTAGACTTTTACTGAGTTCCAAGCACTTGGGTATACTATATCACACGCGTATGGAACTCGATAAGAAAAAGGTTAAAGCAGCAGCAAAGCATAAGGAGACCAAAGCTCTAGTTTGGACAAAGGCACAATCTAAGACCAACAAAAGAAAGGTGATATACCTGGATGATGCCGAGGAGGTTAACATATCTAGTTCTAATAACGGGGAGTCTAAGAGCAGTAGTAATGAAGAAATGGTTAATTCTCAACTATATCAAGTGACTCATAAGGTAAGTCTTCTATTTAGTTATTTTTTACTTTTAGTAAAACTAATGACTTACCTCCAACAGAGCTCCAATCCACATACTACTACTTACCAGTTGAGGCCCTGAACCAGCTCTACCTGTCCCAAGAAGTAGAATGCTTTTACAATTTTTTCTCTCTTCAAAAACCTTAACCTTATAAGTCAATTATGAATTCTCACTTGCAGTATATAGTTACTCATAGATATAGCTATACTCCTTCAATAGAGATGATATTAAAGGAGGTTGTTGCTATGAGTACTGGCTATTTGTATATAAATTTGTAGCTCATATAATATAATACTTTCTGAGTTATAATGATTTTTCTCTCAAGTAGTCATATTTCATATGATGTCACATAACTAGTGATTGTTCCATTACTAGGTCAAATACATTATATTAAATTCTTGAATATACTAGTATACTAATAAATATTATATAAAGATTATGATTATGCTACTACTAGCTAAGTAAACTGAAAATTTAAAACTGGCAGCAGAAAGGATGTACAGAGATCGAAGTAATACAAGTAGTACTAATATCAAGAGTACAAATTGGGGCTGGACAGAATTCATTCTGTGAGTAGCTGTAACGAACCCTCCACGAATGGTTAGTTCTTGGCGATGGGGAACGATACTTCTCTTCTCTCACTTCTTCTTCCTTCATCTTACGATAGCACTAGGCCTCTGCCTATGTTACCAATAGTACAAGACCTTTGTCTTCTATTGAGGACGCCTATCGTAAGCTTTCTCTAACTCTTCTTTGAGAAGAACTTTCCTTGGCATAATGATAATATTGCAATAAAGATAAAGATCGTAAAGGTGTTTTATATTCATTAAAGTAATAAGTAGGGAAAGTACTTAGAACAAAGCATGAAGAACCTATCCTCCTCGACCGCATCGGCCTCCTTATATAGTATTCTTCCCACCCATAGTCATGTGACCCAAAGTGGTCACATGTGCAAAACCAAATCATAACAAACTAGTCACGTGACTAAAGTAGTCACATGCTCAAAACCCATGACCTCATAGCGAGGTCATGTGCAAAAACTCATAAACCAATCATAACGCAATAAATAAGTCATATGACTGGACTGAGTCATATGCGTGAAACCCATGACCTCATAACGAGGTCATGTGTGAAATATAAACCATATGTGCAAGGCGTACTCGCAAGGCACACTCGCAAGGTATACTTACCAGGCACACGTCCCATGACTCATATTTGAGCCATGTGCACAAGTGTCACAAATCCCACACATAACAAATCATATGACTCGAATGAGTCATATGTGTGAAATAATAACATACCTGTGACTCATAATCATGTATCACGTGAAAACTTTTTTCATGCCAAGCCATATTCGTGACAGCTGCCTTGAAAAAAAAAAAACATAAACTGTCTGGTACCTTTACACCAATGCCTACCATCATCTTTATAGGATATAGGTTTTTCTGGTACCGTCTCAGCACAATGGCCAAAGTAAAGAGGACAAGAGAGAGTAGTAGAAACAACCACTTAGTGTGAGAAGGGTGATCGGAGTAGGCATATAGGTGTGGGATGACAGGCAGTTTCTAGGATTATACTGGCGTACTATACGTGAAGAATTCATTATAGAATGTTATTAGACAGATCTGGGCCGCATGGACGAGTTGGGCCAATAAGGTCACATTCAAGAGATAATAATCCGTGAATAATAGAGTGAAGGGTGTCAGACAAAATAGGAGCATAGAGTAAAATTGCCATCAGTGTTGGGATAAAGGGAGCTAGCAACATGCGAGTAAAATAGTGGAAGTGAAGAGAGTAGGGTGGGAACATGTCAGGTGGAACGAATGAAATGAGTTAATGTCCAGACAGTTAGGATGCTTAGAACGAAGAAAATTGATGGGTTATGTCAGGACACAGACATTCTTCATCCTGCGAGAGGGTTTTTTTTGCTGATGTTAGTCAACTTAAGAACTTGGCCAGAAGTCTAATAATTCCAAAGAACAGATAATTACTATTAGAAACTATACAAATCCCAATTGGCGAAATAGTAATTCCCAAAGAGGATATGATGGTTTTTAGGATCTCCTAGTATTCGACTTTAGGAGAATACCCAATGTTACAAGAAATAGTTAGAAGTTAGAAAGATACATAATTTGTATCAGAAATAGTTATAGTCCGCAAACACTCTAACATGGAATATAAATATCAAAGTTTCTCCTGAGCTTTTAGATATCATCAAGCAACATAGAAGAGACCTTAACAATATAATATTGTTTTTACGATTCAATTCTACCTTATCATACTCTTAGTAGTCATAAACAAAATGAGTAACCCTTTGAGCCTTCTTAGACAAATGTCCATCTACAAAACAAATCTCAATTGGCCTAGATGATTCTGAGTCTATTCAGATCATCTCCATCTAACAATACCTAGCAAGGCTAAGGTGGACCCAGCACTCTATGTTAGTGAAATCATACATCCTCAACTCATCCACTTTTGGCACCATTGTTGTGAAAATTGTTGATCGGTTACAGTTATTGAGGACAGCATACCCGATCATAATGATTTTGCTGACCACTACAGAAACCTTAATGAGAGGAAAACCACCCAGTGGCCAGCACAATCACTAGACCTCAATTTAATTGAGGTGGTATGGTTGGATATGGAGAATGAGCTGGGAGAAACTTGGAGCTGGATAGGAGATAAAACTACATTGAAAAGAGCTTTGGATATTGTTTAGCCATCAATTCCAAATGAACAGCTCAAAAGCCTCATTAGAATATGCCACAGTGTCTTCAAGCAGTCATTGATGTCAAAGGTGGACCTACTAGATATTGATTCCTGTATTTTGGTTTTTATATAAACCTTTTTTTCTTTTTTTCCTATTTTCTTTTTTTTTCCTTTGCCCAGCATATCCATAATATATCACTTGTGCCATAACCCATTTTGGAAGAGACCTGACTTTTTGCCAACACCAAAAGTCATTCACTAGTTATCACTCGAATTTCCAAACCTGGTTTAGTCTTCATACAAATGCCGCATCTTATTTGGGAGAGACCCGACTTTTGTCAACCCCCTACGGTAGTACTTCTTCTACTTCGCAGATGGGAATCTCATCCCTGATATAAAATAGCTATCAGAAAACTTTTTTTTTCTTTTTCTTTTTCTTCTTTGTTTCTTTCCCTCGCCCCTTCGCTCATAACTTTTGACTTGACGGGGTCACGATATAGTACATTAATCCCGATCCCGGCAATTCGTCGGTATTGTAAATTAACCGGTTTATGAGTCGGATCGGCGGGAGATGTTGTACGGTATACTCGTAAGGTGCAGTCCCGACCGCAAAAGTGGAGGAGGAATAACTCCGCGGGACATCTCTCGTGGTGAAAGAAAGAAAGAAAGAAAAAGTGAAAAAAAGACAACCCGAGTCTTTGATAATGGGATAAGATCTTTAGATTACACCGTGGATAGCTGAGGGGCAATACCGGCATCATGATTCATCGGCTTAGATAAGAATGGCTTTTCTTTCTCTCCCTCTCTCTTTCTCCCGGATCGCGTTAAACGAGTTTTGCTCAATATCACAAAAAGTGTGGAGTGATTCACGTGATAATTGGCTCAAATTGGTTGTGAGTGATTGGCGGTGAAGGGTGTGTTTGTGTGTGTGTGCGTGGTGTTTTGGGCTTGGGGACGCGTACGCATGGTACTGCACTTGCGGGAGTGTGTGGGCGGTGGATAGGGAAAGGGAGGGAGATGTTTTGTGAGATGGTCTGAGGAGTGGGAGTGGGATTAGGGATGGATGGTTAGCACGGACAATCTTCCGCTGATCGTTGGTCTCATACTTCTATCGACTTTTTATTAAGTTCTTACTACTTGGCTTGGCCATAGATGCCGGTAGGCAAATAAAGATATGAGCAGAGACGGACCTTCCCCAGAAATTGGTGGGTATATATTATATCAGACAAACAGACGAGCAAGGCAGACATAGTAGTAGTAGCAGTCAGTAGTAGCTTAGCGAAACCAGGGAAACAGACCACGACGACAACATCAAACTCCAGCATGAAAAAAAAAAGAAAAGACTTGAACCCGTATCGTGACATATTACCCCCCAACGGCCCCTCCCCCACAGCTTACAAGCACACAACTAATTCCTAACCCTCTTAACAACCTGGCACTCCAAATCCCCCTCCTCCCCCTCCTCCCTGTCATCCCCCCTATCCTTATCCCCACCCCTCTCCCTCCCATTCCCATTCTTCAGCTGCCCCCGCACCCCATTTCCCGCCACCATCGAACTCCTCTTCCTCCCACTCCCGTTCCCACTCCCATTCGTCACCATCTTCCTCCCGTCACGCTCGCCCTCGGCGATCAATGTAACCTCGTACTCCTCGCCCGGATTACTCAGATTGTGAAACGAAGCGTGGTGACCACAGCCGTCGCATGCGAAGCTGCTCGCAGCTTGTAGCGGGTTTAGCATGAAGCGAAGGCAGGGACAGGAGGTGCTTAGGACACCGAGCTGGTGAATGTTAGCAGGGAAGGCTGGAGGAGGGAAGGGTGCCGGCGGGGGGGACCCTACGGGCGGGGGGGGAAAGGGTACTTTGTGGACACATTTGCCGCGAGGCACTTGGTAGTTCATTACCGACCAGATGTTTGTTGCGGGCTTCGCGGGGGGTGTGTGGTTTAGGGACATTTTGTTTATTTCGCGAGCTGAGCTTCTTGCTGCCTGGAAAGTGTGGCGTTGGTCGGGGTGGTCGTTTTGTGCTCTTGGTTGTTGTTGCGACAGTTGTTGGGAGGAAGGCGGAGGAGGCGTGGATAAACGTGAGGTTCTGCACGCACGGACGGATGGATGAGATGGATCATGTTGTGTGTTTTTGCCAAGAATTTTAGATTGAACCTTGATCATCACGTGTCACTCGATTAGTACCTAGTAGTACTTTCTAGACTTTAGAGAAGGTGGGGAGGAGGGAGGGGGCACCTTGTGGTTTAAGTTTAGGTGTTGTTGGAGAGCATATTGACTAGGTCTGAGGATTTTCGGAAGGCAGGTGTAGCTTGCTGGGAATTAAGAAGGAGTGACACTTGATAAACTTGGGGATTGTTTCAAGGTGCTATGATACCATGACCTTCATAATATTATTATTATGATATCATACTTAGTAGAAAGAAATCTAATAATCCCCACTAGACTCCCCTTTCCACGCTAAGCTCCACACCCCCTTCCCAGCATTAAACGGCACAACAATCTTATCCTTCTCTCCAATCTGACCAACAACAACCTCATCCCCATCCCTCCTCAGTAGAATCCCCACCTCGGCACCGAGCTCCCTCTCCAACTCCTTCTCCCGCACTTTATAAAACCTCCTCCCAAAGTCGCACACGAACCCCCTCAACATATCTAACTTCCCCACCTTATCGAATGCCTCAGCGACAAACTGCACAGCGTACGGCTGCGTAAACACCCCAGCGGCAGTCCTCCCGTTCTTCGACCCAATCTTCATTTCCCGCGGGTGCGGCGCCGAGTCCGTTCCCAGAAAAAACTTTGCATCCCCGGACGTGGCCGCCTCGACGAGTGCAGCGCGATCAGATGGGAGCTTGGCAACGGGCTTGCAGAAGCAGTGCGGGTTGTCCGCCCACTGGTCTATCGTGAGGAATAAATGATGCGCGGTGATGGTTGCCGCGACAGTATCGCCACACTTCCGGACCGCCTCTACTGCCGCTGCGGTGGTGCAGTGCTCCAACACGATCCTTAATTTCGGGAAGCGGGCGTGTAGGTCTAGCAATGTTGGTAGGAAGGTCTCCTCGGCATTTAGGATCGTCGTGGTCTCGCTGGATGGTGACTCCCCGTGCAGGTTTAGTACCAGGTCGTGCTTTTCCATCGCCGCGAAGACAGGGTAGTACTCCTCGTACGAGACCACGCCTGCTTCGGAATTTGTCGTCAGGCCCTTCGGGTAGGACTTTACTCCTATTATCCTTTTTGTGGAAGCTGCGTGTTCGATTACTGCCGGGTTTATCGCCGGGCAGAGATATAAGGTCATTAGGAAGGTCACGGAGGGTTCAAGGTCTGCGAGGCCGGAGTGGTAGGAGAGGGCTTGGGGTACAGTTGTAATCGGAGGGACGAGGTTTGGCTACGGAGAGTTAGTTCTGGGTTTTGGGAGGACGAGGGGGAAAGAAGAGGAGGGATACCATGACATAAACGAGTGATACTCCGCCCTTTTTGATCGTGGGAACGACGACACGCATCATATCTCCTTCGCGGAGGTGAGTGTGGAAGTCTGCTGCTGGAGGGAGTTCAATTGTGCCCATTTTCTTCCCTTCTCTCTTAACAAAGATCCCGTAAATATGGTTAATGCGTAATCGGTGGTGGTTGGAAATGATTGCGATAGAGGGGTTCCAAGGTGGGGGAGGGGACCCCAAAATTTAAGCATATCGGGCCGACCCTGTTTATCAGAAGTGGCTTGGCAGATAATTGCAGGGTAACCGACCAACCAACGAACGCAGTGACCCAGCGTTACAATCCTCGACAATCGCAGACAACGAACCAAGAGGAAAACCTTCTCCCCTCCACCCGCATAAAATAACTGTTGATTGATCTACATCTATCGACTTCGACCCTTGGAATTCCATCTCTAGTCGGCAATTCCTTCCTCCCTTGAGCGAAGCGTCTGAAAGCTCCCTGCTGTAGCTAATTCCCCCGGGGACCCAAATCCCAAATAACGGGGTAGGGGGCTGAACGAGCTGACGAAAAAAGATGGCCCTAGACTCACTGCTCAACCAACCCGTTGTGATAGACAATGGATCGGGTACTATCAAAGCTGGCTTCGCCGGTGAGGACTTGCCGAAATGCTTCTTCTCGTCGTTCGTCGGTCGGCCAAAACACACGCGTGTGCTCGCCGGTGCGTTGGAAGGGGATGTGTTCATTGGATCGAGGGCACAGGAGCTGCGAGGGCTGCTCAAGATAAAGTACCCGCTTGAGCATGGGATCGTTACGGATTGGGATGATATGGAGAGGATATGGCAGTATGTTTATAGCGAGGAGTTGAAGACTTTATCCGAGGAGGTGAGTTTGGGGTAGGATATATGGCTGTCGGGTGGTATAGGAGAGGTTATAGAAGGGAGCTAATTGTGGGATCGGGGCTGGGGGAGGAATAGCATCCGGTTTTGCTGACTGAAGCACCTTTAAATCCTCGGACAAATAGAGATACCGCTGCACAGATATTTTTCGAGACGTTTAATGTGCCTGCCTTGTTCACTTCTATACAAGCTGTTTTGTCACTGTATGGAACCTTAGCTCTTTTATTAGCTTTACAAGCTCCATTGGCGGTGTTCCTAGCTAATTGTGGATCGTTAGGTACGCTTCCGGCCGAACAACGGGTATCGTTCTCGATTCCGGAGATGGTGTTTCCCATGCCGTTCCTGTATACGAGGGTTTCGCGATGCCCTCTGCTATCCGCCGAATCGACGTTGCCGGCCGTGACGTGACGGAGAACCTCCAAGTCCTGTTGCGAAAAGCCGGAGCCATATTCCACACTTCTGCTGAGAAGGAAGTTGTCCGGTCGATGAAGGAGAAGGCATGCTACATCGCACTGGATCCAAAGAAGGAGGAGAAGGAGTGGGCTGGTGGTGGGTCCGCGAGAATCGAGGAATACAGACTCCCGGACGGACACATCCTCAAGGTGAGACTCCCGATTCACCGCCTTTTTCATTCATGCCAGCGCATGGGCAAGGATAGTCTGGTGCACGAGAACATCGCTGAATTGCGTGCGTCCCTGCCAGCTCGGTTCAGAAAGATTTAGGGCTCCGGAGATTTTATTCGACCCTGAAATCATCGGTCTCGAGTACCCGGGCATCCATCAGATTGTGGTTGATGCGATTAATAGGACTGACATGGACTTGAGAAAGTCGTTATTTGGGAATATTGTCCTGTCCGGTGGCTCGACGTTAACGAAAGGTAAGGTGCGCAACCCACCCAGACCAGGGTTTCACGGGGAAAAAAATCCCTGCACTTCCGGTTCGACCGGAGCTCAACTACTGCGCAGTAGTTGTGTTTTATATATATAATTATTCCCGCCTCTCCGCCAAAGTTTAACGGCTGACGGATGAACTCATGGTGTGTTCGAACGATAGGATTCGGTGATCGACTGCTTTCTGAAGTTCGGAGACTAGCGGTTAAGGACATGAAAATCAAGATCTTTGCGCCTCCTGAGCGGAAATATAGCACGTGGATTGGAGGTTCAATTCTGGCTGGTTTGAGTACTTTTAGAAAGGTTAGTGCTTTCATTGTTTGAAAATTCCATCACACCACATACCACACACATACACTCTTTATTATGATCTTATTATGATCGATTTACTCCTACGCTTTCTCTTTCTTCATGCATATACCGACGCTACCACATCACGCCTTTTCACCGGTCGTTGATCTCATGGTCGCCGGTTACCGTCCTGCGTTGTTACGTTTCGTATCACTGCCCCGCATATCTGTTACGAGAGGAAAATTTCCCGCCTTCCCCCTACCTTTGCTGCCCGCCCGCTTTCCTTCCATATTGGAACCCTTACCCCTCTTATCCTCTCCACACACCCGCACACTTCCATCCCAATACCGCACAACCCACATGGTGAAAAATATGCGTCACCACTAATTATACCATGATGCTGATACGGTTATTTCGCAGATGTGGGTCAGCATCGATGACTGGCACGAGAATCCGGAAATAATCCATACGAAGTTTACTTAGACCTTTTTTATTTCTTATCATCCTCTTCCCTTCTCTTAGTTGGCGGTTATTGTTGTTCGATAGCAAGCGAAAGCCAGATCCACCATTGTTTACACGAGCACCGGTAGTTAGCCTCCCCCAGTACCCCACCATAGCAACGTAGACAAGGAGAAATATATACCCGGAAACAACTTCTCCCTTCTCCTCTTCCCTCCCTTCCCTCTCTCCCCCAGGACCAATAAATTTTAAAGAGAAACCCACCACACCGTGTAAGGGCTGTTGTTGTCGCATTGCATTGCATTATTCATACCACATTACGTTATATTTTGCCCAAAACTCCCGGACAGGGTACCGTACCGGTAGCCCCATAATGGCATACCGGTACCGCATCATTTCACAAGCGGGCAAGTGAGATCTTGTGCTGCATGTACCAGTACTCGAGTACAAGCAGCCCACAAGTACAAGTAGCGTAGCGGAAAGAAAGAAGGGCAACTATGAGTTTATTATTATTATTACCATTCATTTATGCACCTAGCTAAATGGCTATGGCACATCTCTCTCTACACAATCCTTTCAACCAAACTGCCTTCCTCCCCCATTCCTCTGCCCCACTGCTCTCGTACGAGTAGAGTAACATTTTCTCACTGCCTCTCTTTGCCCGCTCCACGGGCCACTTCCTATACTTACCGTATTCTAATTTCGAGTTCCCCCCCCCCTCCTCAGTGTCACCTGGCTACACGTGCCCTATCCTCCTGGGACACACACACGATCTTTCACCAGCTTAGGAAAAGCCGGCCAAAACTTTATCGAAGCATCCTTCCGCCCCTCCTCCCACCCCGTTGACTCCCTCCATAAGGGTTTTGGAAAATCGATACAGTAGTTTAACCTTTACCTTTTTACCGGTACGTACGAGTACAGTGCCGGTAGTATACTCGAGTACAGTACCGTACGATCTAGTCTATTGTTGGATGAAAATGCGGGGTACTTTACGGCACGCCTGCCGAGGGTTTCGCTACGGGTTGCCTTGTGATGGTGGGAGGGTGGAAAGCCTCTTGAAGGCGCTGCACAGTAATAATCATACTACCGGCACTATGGGTATTGCAGGAGACGGGAGTGTAACAGCGGGTATGAAGGGTAAGTCTGTAGACTAGAACTTTCCCCTGATTGGCTCCAGGTCCCCCCATCCCCCCTTCGACCGCTCAGGGAACGGCCCCACCGTTATCTCCCGATCCCTTCGGTTCCTATTTTGCCAACTCCTAGTTTCCGATCTCTGCGAACACACTCGAGGACTGCAGGTCCAGGGCAAAATCTTCCGGGTCTCACAATGTGAATAGCGGCACCTGGTAGGATACCGTACCGTATTGTATGATATGATACTTGTTAATGTGCTGTACTGTAATTACACTATCAGAGCAAGGAAAGGCAAAACATAGGAATAAAAAAACAAAGTGTAATGAGAATGGAGGAGAGAAACTCGTGGCAGTAAAGTACAGTATGGTGGCAGATAGGTCCCTTATCCCTTCCTTACTAACAAACCACCCCCTTCCTTATCCTTCAAGGACGAAGGACCGGATAGAATGGATAAGGGTGTCAAGGAAATAAAACTTGGGTAAGGCAAAAAAATAAAAATCCCGTATCTCCAAATGTCCAGTTCAGATCCTAATATCCCTTGTTTTTTTCTTTTCGGTTTTCCTTAAGATACCAATCGACAAACGGAAACATATTAACCACAACTACACAAGGGGGGAAAGAAAGGAAAGAAGTATGCGGGAAAAAAAAGTTATAAACGCCGTGCACAAGTCATGCACCAGACTCCAAGCAAATCCCCATTAGATAAAGAAAGAAAACAAGAAAACAAAACTAAAAGAAAGCCCACCAACATGAACTTTTTTCTTTCTTCGATTATTAAAACCCTCCTCTTCAACTCTAGCAGTTTCAAATCTAAGAGGAAGATCTAACCCTAGCAATGCTCCCCCAAACCCTATCTGCGCCACTCCTCAAGCTGTGCGAGGAAAACCTGGGCGACGAGCTGGGGGAGCTGGTGCTAGATCTCGGGGTAGAATCCGGGGACCCAGCGGGGCTAACGCTATAGTGTGACCTGGTAGCAATGGCCTCTGAGGGGACGATGTTGCCAGCGCCGCCGCGGCCAATGGAGTACACGGGCGCGTGGTGCTCGTGGAAGAGACGGTCTCGTTCGAGTTCCTCGTCGAAGGAGAACATTGCTCGCTCGGACTTGGGCTTGATGTTTCCGGCGCCGCCGCGGCCGCCAAAGAAGACGCGGGGGTTTGAAGGGGTGGTAGCGGCTGGGAGGGCTGTCGCGACAGTTGCGGGGAGGGAGGTAGTGCTCGGGAGACGGCGGTAGTTGCCTGCGCCGCCGCGGCCGGCGTGGTAGTAGGAGCCGGCGTCGTGGACGGGGGTACCTTCGGTGAGTTGGAAGGGCATTGCAGTTATTTGGTGGAGGAGGTGGTGGTGGTAGTAGTAGTTGTAGAGGGAGAAGGCAGAAGCTTTGTTTAAACGCTACTAGTTGAGCAGTAAGGTAGGAAGTATCGATCGCTTTATAAGATGGGTAGTAACAGTAGAAGCAGAACAGCAGCGAGGCAGTAGCAAATTGTACCGGTGGTGGTGGATGGTAGTAGGTAGTGGTAGGTGGGCAAGGTTAAATATATAAACTGCGGAATAGTAGTCTGAAGGTCTGAGTCAATGGCTTTAAAATAAAAAGCTATCCAGAGTGGATACTAAAGAGGCCTTTATATTCCAGGTGAGGCCTGCCCTGACGATCCCGCTAACAGCAAATGGGGGCAAATTGTGCCTCCAAAACTCTTTAGTATGTCGCCAGGCGGTGGCTCACCACCACATCATCCATTCCTCACCAGCCTCGCCCTTGCGGCATAGACTAGCTAGTTGAAGGGGTAACGATCTTGTGACAGGGGGGGTGAATGGTTGGTGGTGGGGAGGGATGGCTCAAGCTTGAGCCGACCGGCAATGGAGCTAATTCTCGCACGAACAATACTAGTTACCCCATACGGTGCAAGCATTTTTTGAGGGGTGGGAGGCTCCGGGCGTACCAAGCGCAGCAGGTGCGTGCGGTACTGCACAAGTTTGGAGAGAGGGAAAGGGTTTTTTTTTTTCCCTTTTTTTTTTCCCTTTTCCTTTAGGATCTACCGTACTCGAGTACCGGTGGGTCGATGTGGTCGAGCAAGCTGCCAAAGTCCACGGGAACAAGCCAGCCCATCAATAAACTATCCCAGATCCAATGCAGAAGAAATTGGATTGGCTGAAGGGACAAAAGAAATCCGAGGCAGGCAAAAAAAGGCAGGGTGTGTACTCGAGTACCGTATGCGTTACTCGTCGAAAGGAAGCATAAACTTTTTTTTTTTTCTCAGCGCCGACAGCCCATACACAAGCGCCAGCCCATGCTGGAAGTGTGGTAGACTACCCGCTTGTTCGGCGTTTTCGCTTGGAGATGCAGATAGGGTTCAGCTACAGCTAACTTTAGTAGAAACCAACTTAGCTGTGGAGGCATAAAGACGTAACGTCCTATGTATGGCAAGGAGTTTTTCCATCGAACATCGTGAAAATGACGAATTTCCTCCCCCCTGAATTTATTGCTTCCCACCCCTTCCCCTCGCCTACCGTATGATGGAAAGAAAGAAAAGAAAGGAAAAAAAACTGAGAGCTCTTGTAATATTTGAGGTCAGATGGTTGGGTACCTTGATTGGAAGCACAAATTAGCGTACCCAGTGTAATAGCTAATGTGAACAACAGACCGCCGTTTCGCTCCATTCGCACTAAGAGTCTCTTTGTACGAGTATTTTCCCACCAGTACTCACCTTCCCTATCCTTTTCCCACCTGGTGGGTCCTGGAGAGATTTTCTCTCGTAATTGACAACCCGGAATTGGAAAGGAACAAGTTTCGCCTCGTCATTTTAGTGACTGTAAGGAGGGATGGCGAATTTTGGCGGGGGCGGGAGGGGAAGCCTTTTCCTCTACACCATCATCGCAAGCAATCGAGAAGAGGCATTAGTCTACTAACTTGGAAGAAAAACACGCTCTCGCGATGAACGAATGATCAGACGGATGGCATTGCAGTGGCTCAATGTGGCGGCGGGGTGATGGTGCGCTGAGGAGCACTTGAGAAAGATTTTTCTATCAAAGTTGTCAGATCCACAACGTCATCCCAGACAAACAAGCGAGAAAAATAGAAGTAATTACCAATAAAAATAAAAAAAACAAATACGGTACGGGGGGAGCTTGCGCTAGGATTGGCTCCCGAAACTGCCAGGCTCCCGCAGGAAGTTAGCGAACAGTTAATTCAGGTTGACTGACCAAATAATCAGGGATTATTTCGCGGGTGAACCCAAATTAACTGTTCGCTCACCTCCTAGGATTAGTTGTGAGTAACTTAAAGTACGGTACTTGTACCCTCACCTGGCACCTGTACCAGTGGATCCCAAGGTTGCTCAAGAACTAACAGCGTGCAAGCTCCCTATTGGGAGAGAAGGAAAATTTCTTGCAGCATGGCACTATTGGTTGTCTGTGTCCTCTTGGTATGATATGCTGAGAATCTCTCATCCCTCCCAAAACCTTCTCATTCTTCCTCCCAGCTGCCCTGGTATGATACCTTAGACTACCGGTGCTCCCCCGCCCCGATCCAGCTCCCGAGCAGCGTTTGCCATTCGTGGCTACCAGAGGTGCGGGCAGAGAGCTGAGAGACCTCCCACCCTCAAGCTTGAGTCACGGTAGACTACTCGAGTAGGCTAGCTGCAGGAGGAGGCCTCCTCCACTATTTCATGATTCTATGAATAAGGTACTCGAGTAGGAGGGCACAAATCGACCCACGAGGCAACGCGCATCGCACACAGTTGCCCCAAGCTGCAAGGTACCGCCAAGCTTTCATTCCTGGGATCGATGGCGAAATTTTTTTTCCTTCCAAAATATTTTCTAAAATGTGGGGAAAAAAAAATTTCTTGAAAAAGAAAAAAGGAAATGATGCTAGTCAGGTGCCTAAAACGGTAGGGACCTGCCGAGGTTCGGACTTCCGCGAAGGGATTTGTTGGTGTCGGCCTGAAATATTTCCATGGAGCTCTCTTCCAAGACGGCTTCTCTTTCAGCTTTTTTCACGCTCCCTTTGTTCAAGTTTGTTGAAGAGGTGAGTGAGATCTGTGATCTCCGTTTCAACCTGCTGGGAAGTGGGAGATCAGTTGATGCAATGGAGCCATACTTCAAGTATGATATCGTACTGGTAGCTGTTTCTCTGCTTTCATCAAGGAGCCGAGAAAAATTTCATTCCAAGCGGACACCGTTGCCGTCTGCTTATGATCCGGGAGCTGGCAAGGGATAACCAGGGAAACCAACTGGAAACAAAAAAGCGATACGAACAAGCAATCCGGGCAGGGCTTATCATGCGAAAGAAGCGGGCAATGTATTTTTGTGCGTTTCATTTCTTTTTTGTCACCGACAACCACAAGAGAGGCTCTTGTAGCCTTCTGGTATTTCATTGAACATCGTCTTCCCATCGAACCCTGTAAAACCGTGCCCTAGGAAAGGGAAAGGGGAACACAAAAGAAGAAGAAAGAGGCGTATGGCCCGCAGAACCTTTCCAGATGGGAAAAAAAGAAAGAAAAGACTTCAAACAGTAACAAATACAAAGGTCATGTAATAAATCACTGGCGCAACAGCTTGCTACTCAAATAGTTCACCGAGCCGTTTTTCGTGTGGCCCTTCCTCTAGAGTATGGCGAAAAGCATCGTGAGATTCAGGGAGGTGTCAAGCTGGCTCTTGGCGGACAGAAAAGTTTTCACCAACGCAGCTCCTGCATCCTCATACGGTACACATCAGCACTTGTAACGAACATCGTGACATCGTGACCATATGACGTCTCATCTTTTCTCGTTCCCCTGGAACCAAATTACCGGAGGGGGCGTATGCTGCTTACCGATCATCAATAGTAGATACCTAAATATGGCTCTCTTCCTACTGTAGGCTCCTAGTACGAGTAGAAGGATCCAGGAAACCAGAGACCTGCGTAGAAGTTTTCCATCTCTATCAAAATTGGGTTTGACGGTACCGCCGGCCTTCCTCATCAAGTCGAATTTCGTTGGCGTAAATGGTGGGTACCGCATCTACCATTTTCACAACGGGGCTCTGGTTAGCAACACCGACTCGAGTACTCGTACAGAGCTATCCTAAAAGCGGCTGGAGAAATAGAATGAAGTCCGCTTAGAACCGAAGTCCGTGCCCTGAAACTGCCGACAAGGCGCCGAGCGGCCGACAGTCGTACTCTTTTTTCATCGTGCATTGGCAAGGTGGAGCTGGGGTGCATGGAGAAAAGAGCTCAAAAGTTGGGAAAAGGAAAAAGGAAAATAAAAGGGTACTACTCGGGTCAGGGCGTAAATGATGAGACGGACGGGGGTCGGAAAATGTATGGAGATACATACATTTTCCGACCCCCGTCCGTCTCATCATTTACGCCCTGACCCGAGTACTGGTAAAACATACGCGAAGTTGACCCTCCATCCACAACGGCTGATTCACCACGGGTCGTCTGTGAACGAACGCATCAAAAGAGGCTTTCCCTGTTGGGATGAAGTGTGATCGTCAGTCAAAATTCGGCACGAGCCCCATTGTACTCGAGTGGTCGTCAAGGGAAAATAGCAATGATGAAATCCATGCTGCATTAGACTGATCACTGGTGCGGCGCCGTCCACCTGCCGCCGTGTCGCCTGCGGTAGCCTGTGCCAGTGTTCCCCCGCAAAAGCAAGGGGCAGGAAGGGAGCTCCTCCACTGTCGGTGGCTCTCATACAAGCCTTGAGCGCACAACAAAGGGGAAGAGGAACTCGAAGAAAAAAACAATCGTGACTTTTCTGTTGTGGGCAACAAACTCACCTCTGTAGGACCCGGTACCGGACTCTCCCACCCCCCCAAATGGAACTGATGGAATTGCCGCATGGAAAAGTACGCTACATCGTCAAAGTATCGATTGTCAGCAAGATTCGGTCTAGATGAGTGGTTGACTTGTCAAGGCTCAGACTTACTCATTCACAGTCGCTCCACCAGACCTAATGTTTTTCAGGACTACGCGAACGGGTCAGTTCTTGCCCCCCAACAAATTTTCAAAGTGGTCCCCTTACTTTTCTCTTCCTCCTCCTTTTCCCTGGTGAAGATGTACAATGCCAAAGGGCAATCTCCAACCTTTCTAGCCACTGATATCATGCTATCCAAATCTTCAACAGTGAGCATCGGAAGCAGAGGCCCAAATATCTCCTCACTCAACAAGCTGTCTTCCGGGCTGGTGATTTTGACTAGAGTTGGTTCGATGAATAATCTCGATTCATCCTGCTCGCCACCGTACAAGATCGTTCCCTTGGTATTATTCAACAGTTCCGTGATGCGGTGAAAATGTCTTTTATTGACGATGCGTGCTAGATCTGGTGACTTGGATGCTCCCTCAGGGAAGAATTCCTTCAGGGCCTGGATGTATGCGCCGACAAATTCGGCCTCAAGAGAGGGGTGTATAATGACATAGTTGGGGCAAAGGCAAACTTGTCCCAAGTTGTGAACTTTCCCCCAGGCAATTCTTTTCGCAGCAAGCTTTGCATCTGCTGATTTGGTGATAATGCACGGATTCAGGCCTCCACTAAACACCGGGAAAGAGGTCGATTAGTCTGGGACCTCGGTCATGTCGGAGCTGCCATCAATTCGGTGACAACTTACAGTTCTAGAAGCACCGGGGTCAAGTGTTTTGCAGCAGCAGCAGCAATGATACGACCAACCGCGGCATTTCCTGTGTAGCAGATCTTATCAAACTTTTGGTTTAGAAGCTCGGTCGACTCGGGGATGCCACCGTTGACGACAGCATAGGCTTCGGGGTCAAGAGCGCTCTCTACGATTTGAGTGATGATGGCTGCCGAATTCGGAGCTTGCTCTGATGGTTTAATAACGGCAGTGTTTCCAGCAGCAATCGCACCTATGAGGGGAACCAAAACCAACTGAGCTGGGTAGTTGAAGGCTCTATACCGGAGAGTTGAGAGCGTCAGCCTAATATAAAGCATGGAAAGGGGAATATATTTGTCAAGAATATATATATATCTGGCCTAGGAGGTGAAAAAGCAATAAAAACCAACTGTAACAGAAACCAAGATGCAGCACGTGCAAGTACTAGTACATACCCGATAACCAAAACCGCTCCCATGGGCTCTTTCCGAATACGCGGGGACAAGACAAGCCTGTGCAGAAAGGGTAAATCCACCTTGTCATCTGCAGCCCATTTTCTGAGATTTTTGAGCACGTAGAGGATCTCGGCACCAATCCAATCTATTTCTACTGTCACGGCCTCAAAATAAGGCTTGCCGAGGTCAGCATTAAGGGATTGGATGAGCCGTTGTTCATTGTCTTTGACACCCCAGTAGAGTTTGCGTAGCTGCTCCTCACGATAGGCAAGAGGATGCGTCTTGAGCGATGTGAAAGTGTTTTGGACACGTGAAACTGCCGGGGCGATGGACTCCACCGGAGTCGAACTGAAGGGGATTAAAAGATCGGAAGCCATTTCAGACTTTAGATTGGGTTCGGAGTTTGCTTGCTGGCACAGCGGAGAGTTGGTGGTGGTCGTGTATGTATGATAGTTATATGGTGGTTTTCGGTTTGTGAGAGATCGCTAATGGTCAACGAAGCCTTAAGATTATCAGACGGAGAGTTGGAGGAAGTAGGAGGAATTGCATCAAGAGAAGGACGGAAGCAGGCCCTTTAATTCTAGCCTGATCAAAGGTATTGCGGAGCTGAATAAAAGGTTGATTTTGAGTTTGGAATGGTCTAATTTGTGCTCCCTCTGAATTGATATATCATAGTATCGTAGTGGTTGCTCGGGTCTGGAGGTCCTCCACCCGATTGCTGTCCGGGCCGAGGCAGCAGGGTCAAGGTTAATCACCATTATATCGGCGGGCCAGATGAAGAAGGTAACATGTACTGTACCTGCTTGTTTCCAGCAAGTTCCAATAATTTGTACCGTATCATAGATTTACCGTTGTCGATACTTGTACCATTCTGTATTTAAGTTAAGCAAGTTAATGTTGTGTCTCCATCGCTAAAGCTAGAGGATCTCGGGGCATTTGAGCTCAATCCTCCAAGGGAAGGTGACGTCTGATCCGCAGGGTGCTCAAAAGGTGCCGCGGGACATTGGTTTTTCCGATTGTCGGGGCCGACGGGTGTGTTTGTTCGCTAGACGCCACGAACTGTGCCACGTTCCAGTCTGCAGGGCAACGAGCCGACATTCTCCTTTTCATCCTGTAGTCTAACACCGTGTTTCTCCAGAGTCTGCATCTTATCCGTTGGAATACTATGTGCGATCGTTGAAAGAGTTAAGACGTTCTGACTTCTGAATGGATATATCATAGTAGTGGCAATTGCTCCCTGGAGCGACATGAAATGAAAGGAGATGATGGTGGCCTGGAGCTAAGGCTATTCTAAGGTTTCGTGCTGATACGATACTTACCGGTATTGAACATTCCAACCAATCCCCCGCGGCACAGAACATTGTTATCCTCAGCCTCAAAATGTGCAGATAAGGAACCCCCACAACAGATAAAAAAAGCTTAAGGTCACGGGGAACCTCCTGGGTCTTCCCATAGCTAAGCTACTGGAGCTAAGCTTGTCTTATCCTAGGCAGTTTTCTGTTCCTAGTGCTTGTGCTCGAGTAGCTTGAACGTAGATAGGGCTGCACTGTGCTCGAGTAGAGTACTATGATAGTACAGTGCTCGTACAGAACCCGTGGTGGGAAGCAGCCCACATTATCACTACTCCGCAGTCATATACTGCCCCTTACTAGTATGATATTACTCTACCGTAAGTGTAGAGGGGAATTCAGCCTAACTAGGGTATACCTTATACTGTACCATACCCTTCGAATACGTCTGTTTTGTGTGAAAAAAAAAAAAACTTACATGGAAACTAACCGGCGACTTGCGGCCAACTTAAGTACTGTACACAGTACAACCCGAGGCGGAGGCTTCCCGGGTAGTGGTACCCATGCACGGGAAAGCAAGGCCTCACACTCTTAACACTCTTAAGGACAACATTCCGACATATTTTTCTTACCTTCCACCTTTCAGGAACCAGGCGAAGAGAGCCCTGGTAAATTTATATGTTGCGACCACTCCTCATTCGTTCCGCCGGCCGCCATCCTACTCTACCGCGCTTGGGGGAGGTCACAGGTTTTTCCATTTGCTTTACTGTTTGCCCGAAGGCCCAACTGAGTCAACTCCGGTAGCAACCCTTCACAAAATGTCATTCGGTGCAAACTTTAAACAATCCCCGTCATCTCTATAAATTCTGCGCTTTTGGACGCCGTTAGCTTAGCTTCAATCCATGAGATTTAAGGTTGCTCCCCGGGGGCTAAGTTGATAACAGTCATTACCGCCGTAGGATGCAAAATCTTCTAGGAACAGGTCACAGAGTCGAGGAACCATATACCGGTATATATCCACCCGCCTATATCTACCCCTTCATTCAAGACTTCCGGTGAATATGATAAATGGAATAACACTCCTCTCCCACACAAACCCCAAGAAAAATGACACTAGTGACCGAGTCCTCATTGCACAAGTCGTGGACCGGTGCAGAGTCCTCCCCGGCGGATGAAGCACTCCGTCCACCATGTAGGTATTATAAATGACAGAATCCCAAGCCAGATAAAATTTCCACTCTCCCATTATCACCTTCACTAGCAAGATTCAACACGGCGCTCCTGGCTGAGCTTCTGTACACGTTCGTTGTTTTTCTCTATCCGATTTCCGCTAGTGCATAAGTATTCTTTTCTCACTTCATATTTGGGGGGTTTTTTTTTATAAAAAATAAAAAATACACCACATAATACCAGGATGCTCTACAGATCTGCTCTCCTTCCCACCCTTATGTCTACCGCCACCGCACTCCCACCAGCGTCCGATCCATCGAAGAATGTGACCCGCTCTAGCGGAATACTAGGAACAACGTCAAGGGTATTCACGGGGCGCGAAGACCTGCTGAGGCGCCCTCTAGTAAACGCGGGATCACTCATCCCTGCCATCGGAACGGTGGTGTCGGATCGCATGCGTGACCGTCAAAACTGTGCTGTGCGTCCCGATCTTGGATTCGGAGGGTTCTTTAACTCGTTGGATTCTTACCCGCTTTTGATTGGAGACGGGAAGGTCCTGAACGGGATATAAGGGCAGGAGTTGGTCACCAAGGAGTGCAAGGCTATGATTCCCGAGGGGCCAAAGAAATTGTATGTCCAGCTGCTGAGGGTTGGTTTCCCGTTTAGCTCGGAGAGTGGCTGACTTTGGTGGCGAGAAGTACGAAGAAGCCTGGCGAGAACGGTGTCTCGGCGTCGATGTGTATCAAATCTGCCCCCGAGCAAGACAGGAGCAGGTCCAGTAATAGCTTCGGGGCTCCCTGGAAACATGTCACCAATGGACTCAAATACGAGGTCTACATCACTCACCCGATCCGTGGTAACGTCGGTGACGTCGAGGCTTCTCGCGAGGATTGCGAGAAGATACTGAACCAGGTCCTCACCGAGTGCGCTTTTCTCGGTGCTGGAGGGTATGTTCTTGAGAAGAAGGATAACAAGGAGCACCTTTACTATGGGTTGTCTGTTTCGGAGTGTGATGGGGATCTTCTTATTGTTTGAAGGAGGGGGTGTTTTTACTTGAGCTGGATCTTAGTAGTTTTTTATTCTCAAAATTAGCGGGCATTGTGTTATTGATTCAGAGAGAAAATTATCTTTCGTTAGAACCTATTGAAATATATGATCTTTACCCTAAGAGTTTTTTATTCCTTTCCGGAAGTGCAGTTAGTTTGGTTAGGCGTTAGGATGCTATACTCGAGTACTGTAAGCTCATAAATTTTGACCCTCAAAGTTGCGATAGAACATTTGTACGAGTGACTCTTTATGAACTTTATCCACAGAAGTATGAGAGCCTATGCACGGACACTCAATTAGCTAAATCTAAAGCACTAAACCTCCGGGCTCCTTTAGAATTACGTACCAAAGATCACCGGACTCGCAGGATTGTTCCAAGAGAGGAAGAAAAGGCCTTGATTTAATCAAATCCTGAGGCTATGCTGTTTTCAAATATGATACTCTAACCGCGGAAATCTGGAGGTCAGACCACTAAACACCGGGGGTCAGCAAACCAGGATTCCGTGACCTGGCGGCGTAAGTGCTAGCTTGAGGAGACCGACAAACCTGAATACTATCACAGGTTGTTAGTGAGACACTGTTGAGAAACCGTATCACAACCACATGTACTACACTGTACTCTGTTAGTTTACGATAACATACTGGGGGAAGCTGGTTAGACACAGAAGTAAATCATTTTGAGTGTGAATCTTGCTCAAATTCTCACTACAGAATTTTCAACAAATCAAACGTCGGAATGCAACTCTGAAAAGGCAAATATAGCACATGGTACTGCGCTATTAGAAATATCTCCTACTCTTCTGAATTTCTTCTTCCTACTGTTGGACGTCGGTTGAGATTTCCAGATTCCCAATTTTTGGTGCTTTTTAACTGATCCCTTCCCCAGTATACTGTGAAGTTATGGTGTTTCCAATGCGGATCGCTTAAGTAAGGCATCAAAGACTTCCTCGACTCTTGGCATTGACTCAAGCCTGACATTGTGTGGAAACGCCAAATCAACCAACCTAGGGTTTTAACCCCCGTGCTGGACACCACCAACCGTCACGCCCACGACCAACCTTCCCTACCAAATATTATCACAACCGTCATCGGAACAAGTACACCACAGCCAACGACGACGACGATACCAATCCAACCGCTAACGCACGGCCAATTTTTAGCTCCAACGTATGTCCCCTTCGGTTCCCCTCCAAAAAAGACATCTTGGGAGGTTCTATTAGATTCCTGAAATTAACGTTCGGTTGAGCGAACCTAGGTAAAATAAACACAACACTCGACAATCATGGCTCACGAGACAGTTTGGTACTCTCGCCCTCGCTCCTACGGAAAGGGTAGCAGATCTTGGTATGTTTTTTCAACTCTACGTTTTTATAATTTGCGGAATCAAGGGCTGATTTTCTGGGGGGTAGCCGCGTATGCGCTCACAGGGCCGGTTTGATCCGTAAGTACGGACTCAACATCTGCAGACAGTGCTTTAGGGAAAAGTCCACCGATATCGGTTTCGTCAAGGTATGTTTCTCCCTGTGAAGTTTCGTGCTGGGCATGTAGGATTGGGGTTACTGATCTTCGTAATAGATGCGATAAATCATGTCGGTTCGGCGGCTGGGGGCGCGAGGGGGCCCCCGGGGGAGTTTATAAAATCTGGGAGCGGTGTTCTCTTTTTTCTCTTTTTCTCCCTAAGTTTCCGTACACAGAATGTTACCGAATCAATGAACGGGAATGTTTCAACGGGATTGGTGTTTTTGAGGGCTTTGGATTGGCAGATGTGAAGATCTCTAGAGTGCTCGAGGGCCGATATCAGTGATAATCTGGCATGCGACCATGGCGGTTCTCTCGAGTTACAAAGCCCAGAATTTCTGCTTGATGTTTTGGCACCGCGGACTTACAAGTATCGGCAACTACGGTGGCTAGACTATGTTCACCGACACCAGTAACTCGACCAGCCAAATTTGCGAAACCTCGCATTAGGCCTCCTAACAATATCAGTTGTCGTATGTCAAATAATACTGTATCGTAATGCTATGATAATATTGTGATTGAGAAATCACAAACCCTCAAATGGCATTTACAAACAAAGTTCCAAAGTCCAAACGCCCCACCGATACGCTCCACCCAAACTTAAAACTACGAAGGTATCATAACATTATCATGGCAAGCAAAAGAAAAAAGATTCTCACGTGATACCCTGGCGTTGCGAGAATTTACGCGTTCACTAGCACAACCCTAACCCTGTCAGGTACAAGAGACTTCCGAGTCAACTTTAGTCTACTGGCCCACTCAATCACCTATGACACTTTAGTTACTCACCTCCCTCGACTCCTTCTACTGCTCTCTGCGACAGCAAACAACACTTCTTTTAACTCCTCTTCGTTATCCCCTCGAGCTTGCCGAATGCCACCAGTAGTAAGCTTCTCTCTTCCCCACCAGCCCCACTATATGAGCTAACAACCCTAGACACCAGGTCCCTTCCGCTTCATCACTAAGCCTTCCCAAAAGCCTAAATCTCCGGATTCTACCACATCAGACCCCACATCAAGCTCTATAACCCTATACCTACCCTCACCACCACCCGCTTCCGCTTCCACCCCCACTCCCACGCCCAAACCAATAGCAACCCCAAAACCACAATTCGCCCCATCAAAACGCTTCTACATCCCGACACCCCGAACCCTCCCTGTGCCAACCCTCCCCCCATCGCGGCTGCCACCAGTAACCCAGCCCTCAAGAGCTCAAACACCAAATTCAGCATCCCCACCATTCCTATCCACAGCTCGCCGCTTTCACATCCCATCACCAGCTCTAGCCAGCACCCCAGCGCCCGCACGGGCACGCTTTAGCTATGCCCCTAGTGGTAGCGGTAGTACGCAACCGACCACACCAGCACCCCCACGCACAACCATTTTGTTTAAAAAATCCTACCACCGCGACTCAGTCGACGCCGATATCCACAGCGAAGAAGAGCCCACTAGCCCCCTCCAAAAGAAACGAAGACTCCACCCCGGTGAAGACATAGAAAATGCATCCTCACCACCACCCTCGCCGCACGAATCCGATACCGAGGAACCCCAGGCGGAGAAGCTACGGAATAGGTTCTTATTCACGTCTACGACTACAGCTGTTGCTGCACAAGGTCATACGATAGTCAGTTACCATCGCAGCATCCAGCCCCCTCCCGGAAGAGGAGAGGGGGGAGGGGGAAGAGGGGGGGAGGAAGCGATACCACTAGATTGGTCACCCGCTAAAACTCGTGCTGCAAAGCGCTGGACTGCCGGGGGTCTGGCGGCTGAAGTTGCCGGCTGGGTTCTTGAAAAGGGCTTCCTTGGCGTGCATGCTGGTGGGGGGGGTAGGGTGGTGGTTGCTGGAGTGAAAAGTGGTGATGGGGTATTTGTTGTCAAGGGAGAGAGCGAAGATGCGGGGAGTTTTCTACTCCCGATTGTTGCGGGTGGTGGCATAGGCAGGGGGTTGGCAGTTGGGAGTTTGGTGGTTTATGGGTCGCCGTGGTGGGAGGTTTTGGTTGATGGGGTGAAGTTTAGGTTTTTGGTCGCCTGGAGGGTGGAGGAGGGGGAGGGGGAGAAGGAAATGCGATGATGATTATGGTTATGATTTCGATGGGGTCGGCTAAGTAATGAATGTGCTTTTACGATAAGCGGGGATAAACAGACATCGGAGCATTATCAACATGGTATTCTCTAATTATTTCATGAACACTCGCGAGATATTGTAGTCCCATATCCTACAAACAGCAAAGCGCCAGAAACCCCTCCATCCCTTCGCGAAGCTAATCACCAATGCAAAAGTAATAAACGAAGAACTGAAAATATAGCTAGACGGACAGGTGGACAGAGAAAGAAAACCTAGGTAAAACTCCCCTTCATCAGCATCCCCAAAACACCCTGCCTCTCTTGACCCTGCTTTTTCCTTTCCTGCTTCCTCTTCAACTCGCGTTCGTTCTCAACCTTAGCCCTAACTTGTTCCCTCTGGTGAAAATTGATAGAGCTAGACGCCTTCCCGCCCCGCTTGATCCCCATGGCACCCTCCATAGATTTACCACTGCTAGCGGTAGCGGAGGAGGCGCCGGAATAAGACCCCTGAGAATCACCACTTGTAGAAGACATGTTTGTCGTGGCTCTGCGCAGCAGACTTGGAACTCGGAATTGGGTTTCGGTGGCTGACTGGAAAGCCATTTTCGCGCTCTCGCTCATGGCACTGTTGGATCTTGAGGCGGCGACACGGTCTATGACCACTGTCGCTGCTGTTCTGCGGCGTTTATGCATGAATGCTTCTGCTGGCTCGCCGTCGTCGGAATCTGAAAGTTCGACCATTCCGCTGTCGTTTTCTTCGATGAGGAAGGATAAGGTCTGTAAAAAAAGGGGGGGTATGTCAGTCATAAAGCATCACTCGATAGATTTTATGATTGGGTGAAAAGTTTTAACCAACCTCTCGGACATCTGCGATGGATGGCTTCTTGGGTCTGGTGGTTCTACGGGTATTAGAGATGATGGGTATCTTGCTACTCTCCCCAA